CTGACTCTGGTACAGGTGGCGGTGGTGGAACAACGACTGATTCTGGTACAGGTGGTGGTGGTGGAACAACGACTGACTCTGGTACAGGTGGTGGTGGTGGTGGAACAACGACTGATCCTGGTACAGGTGGAGGTGGTGGTGGAACAACGACTGATTCTGGTACAGGTGGAGGTGGTGGAACAACGACTGACTCGTGGTACAGGTGGAGGTGGTGGTGGAACAACGACTGACTCTGGTACAGGAGGTGGTGGTGGAACAACGACTGACTCTGGTACAGGAGGTGGTGGTGGAACAACGACTGACTCTGGTACAGGTGGAGGTGGTGGAACAACGACTGACTCTGGTACAGGAGGTGGTGGTGGAACAACGACTGACTCTGGTACAGGTGGAGGTGGTGGAACAACGACTGACTCTGGTACTGGTGGAGGTGGTGGAACAACGACTGACTCTGGTATAGGAGGTGGTGGTGGAACAACGACTGACTCTGGTACAGGTGGAGGTGGTGGAACAACGACTGGCACTGGCACAGTCGGAGATGGTGGAACAACGACTGGCACTGGTAATTAAAATGTCTAAACACACATCATGGCCACCCGCCTTTGTACACAGACGCACACACGCACACGCACTGATATCTTGACCAGAACCGTCCCAACATTGTTGGCCGTTTAAGTACTTGTTTCATTACTTTTTCTTGTTGTTACTTTACTTGCAGTACTTGTCTCATGTTTCCTACGAAAACGGAGCTAGGCATGTTTTGACCGGCTCAAATGATAGAGGAAGGTTCTCGACGGAGTTAAAACGCGATTCGTTCCATTATGTTTGCTGTTTCTATTCCTCAGGTCGGACCGGTGGAAGCACAAGTCTTACAGGCTGTACGTATAGCAATTACTGTAATGATATCGACGGGCACTGATGATATTCACATTGACTATTTACTGTATTGGCAATGACTACTTGTACTTAACTCAAGGGACCCTCTGCAGATATCCCTAGCTCTAAATACATCGATATATCCCCTGCAGACATCCGCATAACTAAAGTGGAGACATCCAGTAAATAGAGTGATAATCTTGTGCAGACATCCATTAACTGAAAATAAAGTGATGCAGATAGTGTCAATATGTGTTAGTTTCATTAATATCAGCTTCTCAGTTACAAGATGCTTCATCAGCACGAGTGTTTCAGGGAGTGATTATGTCCAGCAATTGTTGGTTACAGTGACCTGGATACAGAGACTCTTATTGATCTTGTGTATAATCCTCGTCCTCCAGACTGTGGGAGTGTCCTTGACCATCTACTACATCTGTGAGTAAACCTGTACTTGACTATATACTACATCCGTGAGTACACCTGTCCTTGACTATATAATACACCTCGTGAGTACACCTGTCCTTGACCATCTACTACATCCGTGAGTACACCTGTCCTTGACTATATACTACATCTGTGAGTACACCTGTCCTTGACCATCTACTACATCTGTGAGTACACCTGTCCTTGACCATCGACTACTTCCGTAAGTACACCTGTCCTTGACCATCTACTACATCTGTGAGTACACCTGTCCTTGACTATATACTACATCTGTGAGTACACCTGTCCTTGACCATCTACTACATCTGTGAGTACACCTGTCCTTGACATATACTACATCTGTGAGTACACCTGTCCTTGACTATATACTACATCTGTGAGTACACCTGTCCTTGACCATCTACTACATCCGTGAGTACACCTGTCCTTGACAATATACTACATCTGTGAGTACACCTGTCCTTGACCATCTACTACATCTGTGAGTACACCTGCCCTTGATCATATACTACATCCGTGAGTACACCTGTCCTTGACTATATACTACATCTGTGAGTACACCTGTCCTTGACTATATACTACATCCGTGAGTACACCTGTCCTTGACTATATACTACATCCTGTGAGTACACCTGTCCTTGACCATCTACTACATCTGTGAGTACACCTGTCCTTGACCATCTACTACATCTGTGAGTACACCTGTCCTTGACTATATACTACATCCGTGAGTACACCTGTCCTTGACCATCTACTAAATCTGTGAGTACACCATTGACTATATACTACATCCGTGAGTACACCTGTCCTTGACCATCTACTACATCTGAGTACACCTGTCCTTGACCATCTACTACATCTGTGAGTACACTTGTCCTTGACCATATACTACATCTGTGAGTACACCTGTCCTTGACCATCTACTACATCTGTGAGTACATCTGTCCTTCACCATCGACTTCATCTCAGAGCACATCTGTCCTTCACCATCTACTTCATCTGTGAGTACACCTGTCCTTCACCATCTACTTCATCTGTGAGTACACCTGTCCTTGACTATATACTACATCCGTGAGTACACCTGTCCTTGACCATCTACTACATCTCTGACCATCTACTTCACATCTGTCCTTCTGTGAGTACACATATACTCACCATCGGTCAGAGTACACCTGTCCTTGACCATCTACTACATCTCAGAGAGTCCTTCACCACATCTGTCCTTCACCATCTACTTCATCTCAGAGATCTGCACACCTGTCCATTCAGAGCACACCCTTCTATCTTCATCTCAGAGCACATCTGTCCTTCACCATCATCTCAGAGTACATCTGTCCTTCACCATCTACTTCATCTCAGAGCACATCTGTCCTTCACCATCTACTTCATCTCAGAGCACATCTGTCCTTCACCATCTACTTCATCTCAGAGCACATCTGTCCTTCACCATCTACTTCATCTCAGAGCACATATGTCCTCCATGTGATAATGAGAACTGGTTGTACAGAAAACCTTCATTTCATTCAGATCGCCAAGAAAAGAGGAAGGTTTCACCATCGTAGTACCAGCGAAGTACCATCTTAGTACCATCGTAGTACCAGCGCCACTTTATCTTCAAGAAAACAATGACGATGAAAGAAAGCTGTAGACAGGATGCGAATCGCCAGATGGATGCAAGGTCGCAAGCATACGCGTCCAACGTTTGGTCAACGGGTATATGCCTAGTGATACTAGAGGACATTACAACGCCCTAGCGACCCCGCATCCGCAGTATAATACCTGTCCACTTTCATTCGGAAAGCATCGTCCGTTTACGGAAGATCATCACCAACATGTACTGACTCTCGAGAACGATTCTGTGATATGTTCTTATTCTTCCCATTCGCCCTTCCTGACATTGACAGTATCTGACTCTTGATAGTTTTGGCTGCCATGACTCTGTAGACTGCGATCGTCAGCAATCAATATTCAGGGGGATGACGTTGAGTGAGTGGGTGAGGGAGTTAATATTTAAAGTCACATCGGCAATGTTTCAGCCATATCGTGACGAGAACAAATTTGACGTTATAAAGAATATGTATATATCATAAAACCTGTCGTCAATGACAGTAAAACAACTAAATATAGATTATCACAGTTAGAATTAAAACTAGCATGCGAAGTTCAAACTAATAGCACTATTTGGATAATACATTGATATAAAAACAGGCTATACATGGGATGACGTGGATTGCTCTCTGGAATTCGACATAGGCCAAAGGTCATGCCAATATATAGTCAACTATAACGACTATTCCCTTTCCAGCGCGGTTACCAGGGACACGTTAATTAAGACTGGTTATCGTCCATTACCTGTACACTTTCATTCAAGTAAAGGATAGACTAAAACAACTAGCTGGATTTAGAAGTGTATGTGTATGTTGTGCTTCATTCTGATCGTGTTCACAAAACACTGAGCCGGAGACTAAGTGTTTTAAGTTTACGGAAATGTCCGATGTCATGAGTGAACCAATGGGAACACCCAGAGGGACAATGGTGAAGGTGTCGGACGGTGTTCAGCATTTAGTGTGTTCCGAGTGTTTGATGAGGCCAAAGTGTTTAGTGTTGTGAACAATTCAATGTTAATATAACTGAAAATATACCTAGAAGAGCCAGCGCATGCCCAGATAGCTGACAGTGTTTCCTGTTCGACGGGAAACTGAATGATTCAGTTTTTATGTTTCTTGTTCCGTCGATATTTTGTATAGTTAATAAACCTGCTGAGCTGCAACGTTCTTGCACAATATGAGTTTAAAGTCCATGTCATGTTTTTTCCTTCTACGTGCTTGGTAATATTCAGGCTATGTGGCACCAAGCCTGAACACCGAGTCTGGTTTAGACAATCCAGTGCCTGGCGTCATGAACTTCGATCAGCAAAACTGATATTCTATAGAACCACACCACGTCACAGGGTCTGAACATCTGTTCCATTGATTCCCGGATTCCAAACATCTACAGAATGAACATGTGATTGTACAGGTTATATCTACAACAGCTCACCTCGTCAAGCCATACATATCTTTACTGTTGTCTAACAGTAATCCTAACAGATACAAGATGAGCATGTGATTGTACAGGTTATATCTACAACAGCTCACCTCGTCAAGCCATACATATCTTTACTGTTGTCTAACAGTAATCCTAACAGATACAAAATGAGCATGTGATTGTACAGGTTATATCTACAACAGCTCAACACACATCACCTCGTCAAGCCATACATATCTTTACTGTTGTCTAACAGCAATCCTAACAGATACAAAATCTAAGGAAACTGAGAAAATATCTGACACATTCTTGTTTGTTTAAAACGGTGGTTTTAGTTTTCTGTAAATCAAATTATCCTTCTGAGATGAATTAATGATTAATGTGCGATGAATAATGTTAAAATTGGAACATTTTTACCAACTTCCGCAACAGTGATTCCATATCATGTCCTTTGGATATTTCTGTTTCCATCATTTTGTGTATTCCATTTAATTTTCGTTGTTTAAATGTCAGCTGTTGTATCCAGATCAGTTGCTGCTGTTTACAACAGAGTACAGATTTATCGCTCAATTTGACACACGAGAGGTTATTTGGTTAGACTTGGTCTTCAGCAACCCACTCTTGGTGTTGGCGGCACAGAATCACGTGCACGCTTTTCATAAAAAATACATTTCCGTTTGGTGTATACCCAGTTTTGGCAAGACGAAGTTCAGGTTTTTAAATTCCCCGAATGAGATGATCATGTCGCTGTTCCACCTTCTGGCTGAGCAGGAGGAAGAACTTGCGATTCCGGGAGTCTACCATCACACAAAGTATCTGATGCTCCAACAATCCCATGATGCAAAGCGATAACCGGAAGTCAGCTGTCACACTTTATTCAGTTTCTTATGCACCAACGATACCATGATGCAAAGCGATAACCGGAAGGCAACCATCAGACTGTACTCAGTATTTGTTGCACAATCAATCCCACGATGCAGACCACTAGTGACACTGAAAGTCCTGCACGGCAACCTTAAATTAAAACAACGGACAGATTTTAAAAAGTGGTTAGTGCAGGTTCACAAACACTTTTTAAAACATTTTTTAGTTTGTTGTTTAAGCCGCACTCAGCAGTGTTCTAGCCATTTGGCTGTTACAACACAATAATAGATACATCTCGCAGGTCTTCCTACACCAATCTAGCAAACCCTGATATGACAGGAGACAGTTCAAAGTGGACTAAAAACCCACTCACTCACTCACAAGTGAGTGATTAATTCTGTTAACATGAGTAACATTTTGTTATAAACGAATTAACGAACGATAATATTTCTGTCAGTTACCTTCACTAGGATTCGGCGGGATATCGTTACAAGGGTAGTGTTGTCATCAGACACCAACAGCATCCTGTATCTGTGAAGTTGTACTTGATATACAGCGATGTAAATGTTATGTTATTAACAATAATAACATAGTATTTGGTCATCCGTCTGATTATTGTCATGTCAATACAAATTCATTGCCTGCACGCTCTAAAAGAAATGTTGTGTGACAATTATCTAAACTGACACACAGAAGAAGGTACCCACCTGAGTAAACACAAGCAGCAAAGTAAAGCGTTTTGGGGGTTATTTTTGTTTGTTTGTTGTTGTTGCATTATCCGAAAGCAATAAATGTGTACCCACGTCAGTAGATGCTGAATTTCAAGGAGCGGTTGCATCCTGTGTTAGGATTTAGCTCACCTGGTACATTATGCCTCATGCCTCCAGTAAGGGCGCATATTATGATGTAGCTCACCTGATAAGGTGTAGTTCATGCCTCCAGTAAGGCCGTGTATTATGATGTAGCTCACCTGGTAAGGTGTAGTTCATGCCTCCAGTAAGGGCGTGTATTATGATGTAGCTCACCTGATAAGTTTAGATCATGCTTCCAGTAAGGGCATGTATTATGATGTAGCTCACCTGGTAAGTGTAGTTCATGCTTCCAGTAAGGGCGTGTATTATGATGTAGCTCACCTGGTAAGGTGTAGTTCATGCTTCCTGTAAGGGCGTGTATTATGATGTAGCTCACCTGGTAAGGTGTAGTTCATGCCTCCAGTAAGGGCGTGTATTATGATGTAGCTCACCTGGTAAGGTGTAGTTCATGCCTCCAGTAAGGGCGTGTATTATGATGTAGCTCACCTGGTAAGGTGTAGTTCATGCTTCCAGTAAGGGCGTGTATTATGATGTAGCTCACCTGGATAAGTGTAGTTCATGCTTCCAGTAAGGGCGTGTATTATGATGAAGCTCACCTGGTAAGGTGTAGTTCATGCTTCCAGTAAGGGCGTGTATTATGATGTAGCTCACCTGGTAAGTTGTAGTTCATGCTTTCAGTAAGGGTGTGTATTAAAATGAAGCTCACCTGGTAAGGTATAGTTCATGCTTCCAGTAAGGGCGTGTATTATGATGTAGCTCACCTGGTAAGGTATAGTTCATGCCTCCAGTAATTGCGTGTATTATGATGTAGCTCTTGACGTTCATGGTACAGTAATATGGTTTTACGTCGTCACAGCTGGCATTGCCCATGTTCAGCACAAGGTAGGATTTCCTGACGTCCGTGTGGTTCAGCTGTCCTGACGCCGCTGCTCTCTGTTTCACGCTGTTGGCGACGTGGGCCGCCTCAGTATCGGATACCGCAGCCAGTGGTACCTTGGTGCCCTCCAACTTTCCGATCGTGATGGCAAGTATGTCCTTGATGGACCCCGGGTCACTTCCCAGACTGCACCGCAGTTCAATGCTGCTACTTCCGATGTAGGTCGGGGCTCAGCTGATATTACTACGCTTGATGTCACTGAAGATAATTATATTGCTAATCAGGAAAAATCTCCCAGTGATATTAACCCGAGCCACACATTCATCCATATATCTACACATTCCTACACATACTTACACATTCCTACATATATTTACACATTCCTACATATATTTACACATTCCTATATATACTTTTCATATATCTACGCATTCCTACATATGTCTACATATTCTTACATATATGTACACATTCATGTATATACTTACACATTAATTCATTTATTTACACATTCCTACATATTCCTACACATTCCTACATATTCCTACACATTCCTACATACGATACACTACTGGAATATAGTAAAGGTCAGTTCACAAATTCAGCATCGTGTGTGTCCACCATTGGCGTTGATGTATTCTGTATGACAACGACGACGCATAGACGACACTAACCGATTGAAGAAAGCTTGGGGAATGTTGATCCATGCCTAAAACAACGCTTGTTCCAATGCGTCAATGGCTGATTCTAGGCTTGATGTAAACGTCGCTCCATTTCACCCCGAGCGTGCTCGGTAGGGCACAGGTCCTGAGAAACAGCTGGTAATAAGTACCGGAATGTTCTGCTGTCTCAGTCACAACACGAGCGACACGTGGACAGGCATCATTTTGCTGAAGCGTGAAGTTACGTCTCTGTCCTTGAATGAACGGCTGCACATGAGACCCAATTATCTCATCCCTGTATCGCAGACCTGTCAGATTGCCATTGGCTATGACAAGTTGTGTCGAACCCTGAGATGTGATGCCTCCCCATATCATAACGCCTCGACACCAAACAGCCGACTTTGAACAACGCACGCGTCAGCATACCGTACACTCGACTCGTCAGTGAACAAAGGACGATCCCAATCGTGTCTCCTGTACCGCAGATGTTGTCTACATGACGTGGCTGTTTGTGACATTGGAGCAAAATTGGACGTCTCGCATGCGTCGGGGCTGGATGTTGTGCTCCCTCGGTCGGTTCCGTACAGTCCTGGAACCGATAGGACGTAAGTCAGGAATGTGGTTGTCTTGGTGACGTGACGTCACACGTGGACGACCGGTCAGAGGCAAATCTCTTGTGTTCCCATTATGTTGAAAACGTCTCCATAGCGATGAGATCGTGTTTCGATGGACACCAAAATGTCTGGCTACTCCATTTTGGTCAATTCCAGTCTCCAGCATACCCAAGGCGCTGAGCCGCTGATTTTCTGTAAGCCTTGGCATGACGTATGCGAAGTTTAGATTAAAATTAACGTGTTTTCACAACATCCAGAGGCTAGAGAAGAATCAACCGTTCTTCAATTTTCAATATCAGATGTGTGAACTTCAGGTGTCAAAAAGCATACAAAAAGGAATAAGTTAATTGTGCACAAAGTGCACGGGCCACGGACATCAAATGTCCTGAAAAGTGTTTTGCTTCGTGTTTATTTTTATGTTATTCAGTTACTTTTTTCCGTTCATTTACATACACATTCCTACATATAGCTACAGATTCCTACATATAGCTACAGATTCCTACATTAACTAAACATGCCTGAACATAGCTGTATATACCTACATATAGCTACAGATTCCTACATATAGCTACAGATTCCTACCTTAACTAAACATGCCTGAACATAGCTGTATATACCTACATATAGCTACAGATACCTACATAAAGCTACAGATTCCTACATTAACTAAACATGCCTGAACATAGCTGTATATACCTACATATAGCTACAGATACCTACATAAAGCTACAGATTCCTACATTAACTAAACATGCCTGAACATAGCTGTATATACCTACATATAGCTACAGATTCCTACATATAGCTACAGATTCCTACATTAACTAAACATGCCTGAACATAGCTGTATATACCTACATATAGCTACAGATACCTACATATAGCTACAGATTCCTACATATAGCTACAGATTCCTACCTTAACTAAACATGCCTGAACATAGCTGTATATACCTACATATAGCTACAGATACCTACATAAAGCTACAGATTCCTACATTAACTAAACATGCCTGAACATAGCTGTATATACCTACATATAGCTACAGATACCTACATATAGCTACAGATTCCTACATTAACTAAACATGCCTGAACATAGCTGTATATACCTACATATAGCTACAGATTCCTACATATAGCTACAGATTCCTACATTAACTAAACATGCCTGAACATAGCTGTATATACCTACATATAGCTACAGATTCCTACATAAAGCTACAGATTCCTACATTAACTAAACATGCCTGAACATAGCTGTATATACCTACATATAGCTACAGATACCTACATAAAGCTACAGATTCCTACATTAACTAAACATGCCTGAACATAGCTGTATATACCTACATATAGCTACAGATTCCTACATATAGCTACAGATTCCTACATTAACTAAACATGCCTGAACATAGCTGTATATACCTACATATAGCTACAGATACCTACATAAAGCTACAGATTCCTACATTAACTAAACATGCCTGAACATAGCTGTATATACCTACATATAGCTACAGATACCTACATAAAGCTACAGATTCCTACATTAACTAAACATGCCTGAACATAGCTGTATATACCTACATATAGCTACAGATACCTACATATAGCTACAGATTCCTACATTAACTAAACATGCCTGAACATAGCTGTATATACCTACATATAGCTACAGATTCCTACATAACTAAAGCTACAGATTCCTACATTAACTAAACATGCCTGAACATAGCTGTATATACCTATACATATAGCTACAGATACCTACATATAGCTACAGATTCCTACCATTAACTAAACATGCCTGAACATAGCTGTATATACCTACATATAGCTACAGATTCCTACATAAAGCTACAGATTCCTACATTAACTAAACATGCCTGAACATAGCTGTATATACCTACATATAG